AGGCCCCGCCCCCCGCCCGGGACCGGGAGCGCTGCGGCTGAGGGCCGGCGAGCCGCCCGCCACAAGACACTGGCAATGTGTGGTGGAGGGGGGCAGGACCGACTCACTTGTGGCTCTGGACTGACTCCCGGAGTTGGATCGGGAACGTGAAACATTTCTTTCCACCATCACAAAAGGGAAGGCCCGAGAAGCGCTGCTTCTGTCCTCTGTTTTCCTCTTCAGGAGGACATTTCTCTCTCTTGAAGAGAAAAATAGAGGACATGAAGGCATCTGGTTTCGTATCAATAGAGGACAACCGGACTGTCCTCTGATGGCCGCCCTGCTCTTCTGTGACAGGCCGCGCCAAGCCCTTCCTCGTGTTTGTTTTAATCTTACTGCTAGTTTCCTTCTGTGCCCCTCGGGCTTGTATGGTGAGAGGCAGTAAATAATAAATCCCCATGTACTTTCTCCACGCCTCGAGGGGAGAGTAGGTCTGGATGGCTGAGGGGAAGGAGGTAGTTCTGGGCGCCGTGTTTCAAGAAGGATGGAGAGGAGCTCGAGGGGCAGAGACAGGATTCAAGGGGCTGGAAAGGTTGAGACTATTAGACATGTTCAGCTTGGACACACAGGGATGAAGGGGAGACACGAGACCTAAAAGACTGCCATCAGGAGGCGGGAGAAGCAACACGCTGTCCTTTCCACAGAAGGTAAGACATGAAGCAATAGCTTTACATTGCAGCAAAGTAGAAATAGCTTAGGTATCAGGAACAGCTTCCTTATTAAACTCCCCTCCTGCTGTGAAATCACCTGTATTTTGCCCCAAATTTCCTCTGCCCCATTCTTTCTTTATGCGATAACCTTACCAAAGGCTGCAGAGACACCTAGGGGAAAAATCCATCTGTAAATATTTAAAGGCTATAAAGAAAGAGGAAGGAATTTGCTTATGGTTGTAAACAGAGAGGTGAGTAAAGTGACACAACAGTAGGTCATAAAATACATCCCAAATTAAAGGTAGCTGAAAAACAGAAAAAGAAAATGTTCGTTTTGAAGGAGCTGTTGTGCGTTTGGTATCCAGGGATGCGTTAGAAGCAGTACATTTTTGTAGGGTGATAGCTTGGATCTATTCTGTTAATCTCGCTCAGCAATGAAATCGTTAATAATGTTTATATTGAAGTACTTTAGGTTTCAAAGTTAATCCTTTTAAACATACGGGGCGGTTCACACTTGTCAGAACGGTTGTTTCAGGCTGTCTGTAAACTCAAGACAACACTACATGAGTCTGTGTGCTGAGTATTTTCAATATGATCTTCCATGAGGGTGAGAACTATTTTTCAAGTCAAATTTTAAATTCTGAAACCTACTTCAAAGACCAGGCTTAGATTTCACAGCCACAGAATGACATAACTGGCATACAAGAGGGACTCGCTACACTTGGAAAGACATTTAATTCTTTCACTCCTGTACATAAATATACAATATGAGCATACCCCTGGAAAGACACGCAACAATTTGCTAAGTAATGCACATTCAAAATTAAGCTGAGAAAGCTAACATACTCTATATTCAGAGAGAGTACTTAGTGATGGTACATCATGGTGACTGAACTGAGGACTCCCAAACCCTTATGAAGATAGTTGCTTCTATGAAAAAAAATTACACATTGATGCCATCACCCATATTCCAAAAACAAAAGTTTCCTCTTCTGAGGTACCTACATCAATCCTGAGAAATCTTTGCTAGCAGCGATGCTTTAAAGAAGGCTGGACAAACCCCCATTCAGTTCCTCAAATTAAGTTCCTTATCTGTAAGAAAAACAGATTTATTTTTCAAGAAAGAATGTCCCAACATGTGGAAAGCAGTCAGCCCCCTCAGTTATGTGTGAATCTCTGACAGAGGAAGAACCACAAAAAATATCTGTGGAGAAAAGAGGCAAAAATCTTTCAGCAACTCAGTGTTTAAAATACCAAACTATGTTCAAAACTAAAGACATAAATAACAATGTAGATAGAAACCAAAAGACCTGCAATAGGACAGAACCAGAGTAGATGACAGAGCAATATATTAATGCCATTACTCAAAATAACTGTTCCATTCTCCCTTGCAAAGGAATAACAATCCAATACAAGATGAGCATAAAATAAAATTACCTTGGAAATAGTTTCTATGATCTTCTTCCCCCCTCCTTTTCCATTTCTAACTCATTCTATAATTTTCTCCCAGGAAGGACAGCACATAGAAAATGTCTTTGGGGTGAGGGGTAGTTTAAACTTTCCTTTGCAATAGGACAAGCTGGGGGACAACCGAACCCTGGGGAAAACAGGGTTGTAAAAATCTGGAATAGCCTCCACGGGAAGTGGTAAGGACTCCCATTGCTTGGGACATGTAACCCTAGCCTAACAATGTGATATGTAAATGTACAAGGGTGGAAATCCTATGCTGGCAGAGGCCTGGATATGATGAACTAATCAGTCTTTCCCATATCTAATTTAAATATTTCTATGAGATCCCAAGGAAATCAGAGACTCTCACAAAGTGGTTGCCACTGCACAATAGCTTCAGTCTGGATTTTGTGTAACCTATAAGATGCTTCAGAAACGTGGAGCTTTCACAATTCATCTTAAAGGGAAACTCTTCATTCCACAACTATACTTTCCTTTGGAGGAGTTGATGTGGGCTCTTCACAATACAGAAGAGTCCTAAGCACATTTCTTTACAAAAATAAAGATGTATAATAATCCATGAAGATGAGTTTGATGTATTCATTAGTAGTTTCAACCAGAGCACAACAGCATGTTGCAGGAGAACCAGAAAGTATCCCCATAAAAGATTAGTGCAATGCAAAGGGGAGGAATGGTTGTGTGGTTCTGGGGCAGGGCTGGAAGACAGGATATTGGGATTCTGGTTCTGATTTGCTCACAGCATTCCCATGTGGCTTTTGGCAAGTCTCTTAGCTCCTCAGTGACTCAGTTCCCCTCTCAGAACAGGAAGGAAATGGGAGTAAGGAGCCTAAATTTGTAAATATTAAAATATTAATGAAGCATTTTTAAGAACTGGAAAGAAAGTTAACTGTCTATGTACAAGGCCTGGCTAACATTCTTTCCTTTCTAATAATTTAAGGTGTAATTACTAGCGATGGTGAAAAATGCTTTCACATGCACTGAATTGCCAGTGTCATGACTGTGATTTCACAGAGGTTTTAAGAAAATTCCTTGGGGCAGCAAACCACTAACATCACCATGCAGAGCCACAACTACCATACCCTTTTCAGCTTCATGGTCATCAAAGTGTTCTCCCCCCCCCGTAGATGGCATGGAGTCAATACCAAGCCATACTGGGAGAATTCTTGGCATCCTTATGGAAGGGTGGGTGGGCTGGATTGACTTGGCAAAGGCTGGAGTGGTTTCTGCCAACGTTTAACAAAGGAATCCTTTACACACACTCCCGCTTGATACAGAAGCGGCACCTTTATTGAGTCTGCTATGGAGTGTTTGAAGGAAAATACTTATGCAGTAAATGTATGGAATATATTTAATATACTGAGTCAGTAAAAAGTTCATTGCAGTCGCCCATAGCTGTTCATGATCCTGTAAGAAAACTTTGATTTCTAAGATTATGCACTCTTTAGGGCAGAGACTTTATTTCATTCTGTGTATGTGCACCGGGGCTCACCTAGTAGGATCCTAAGTCTCGGGCTCTACCACAACATTATATAAATAAATAGGCAGGTCACTGCATCTGTCAAGGATGATTTCATACCTGGAATCTAATAGAGGGGTAGGAGGAGACAACCTATAACTCAGAAAGATCAACAAACCTGTAGGCAAGCTGTAGCTAATGGGAGCTAACAGGACAGGTATCATTCCAAGAAAATACAACGTATAAAGGGAATACCAGACGCTGAGCCGAGTCAAAGATTCACACGAGCACAGAAGAGTTAATCCGGTCTGGGACAGAACTACTAACTCTTAGAAAGATCTCCAGTGCTGCGGTTGTAACTTTAACCTATTGACAATCCAGGCATTAACGGTAGTGAGAAGAGAATTCATAACCATAAATCACTAACTTGCATAACTGAACAAATTAACTCTCGTGTTCCAGCTGTTCATATAGAAAATCTATAGCTTTTGATAAGCCCCTGGACGACTGCAGATTAACAGAAACCTACATAAAAAAATGAAGCAAAAATAGTATTAAACTTGTGAGTTTCTATGATAGGTTGAGCATATTTTGCAATATTTTCAAGATTTGACACAGCTGCAATTAAACATGAACGTCAACCTAAAGCCTAATTTTTAAAGTTGCATTAATGTATTTAAGATGTTTAATAACTATCTATAAAATTCAACAGATATGAATGGTGCCTGTTCTGGGGAAAATGCTGTTAAAGTTCTGCAGGAATGAGGGTCCAATTCAAATAGGAAAATAGCATCCGTACGAGTACTTGAAAGAGCTGAGAGTTTCTTTAAGAAAATGCTCCAGTATTTCCACATGACCTACTAAAGGGAAGGAGCTCTGGTATGCTGCCAAATTCCAAGAGCGCTGAGCAGCGATTAGAGTTTGACATAGGAGAGAAAATTTTCCCTTCAGTATCTCAATTTAAAAATCCTACACCCTCTGACCTCTCAAATTCAAAAACTTCATAAAAGCCAACTGATGAAGGAATGTCATTTAGTCGAGTCTTCCAGAACTTTTTATTGCATCCCCTCATTTTCACCCCATGCCAGTGTGCACACACTTCTGTAGCCTTCAGTCACATGGCAGCAAATTATTTTGGCAGAGGATTATTTTGCTGAGTCAGATTTATAGATTACTACGGTATATGTCAGGGAGAGAGGGCCCCAACCTGCTCCTGGTGAAAGTTCGGGTATCGAATCATAGAAAATGAGGGTTGGAAGGGACCACAGGAGGCCATCTAGTCCAACCCCCTGCTCAAAGTAGGACCACCCCCAACTAGATCATCCCAGCCAAGGCTTTATCTAGCTGGGTCTTGAAAACCTTTAAGGATGGAGAGTCCAGAACCCTGTGGGTAGCCTGTTCCAGTGTTTTACTACCCTCCTTGTGAGAGTTTTTTCCTAACATCCAACCTAAACTTCCCTTGCTGCAACTTGAGACCGTTGCTCCCTGTTCTTTCTTCTGCCACCACTGAGAACAGTGCAGCTCCATCCTCTTTGGATCCACCCATCAGGTAGTTGAAGGCTCCTATTGAACCCCCCCTCAGTCTTCTCTTCTCCAGACTAAATAAGCCCAGCTCCCTCAGCCTCTCATAAGTGACATGCCCTAGTCCCCTAACCATTTTCATTGCCCTCTTCTGGACTCTTCAATTTGTCCACATCCTTAATACTGACCATCAGTACAAATAGAACCAGATTCATGGGTGAGGACTGGTGCAGCAATCCAGTGCTAGCTAGAAGGGGAGGCTCACAGCTCAAACCTCTAGTTTTGAGGCCTGCAGAACTAGTCCTTGCAGCATGCAGAACCCCTAGATGTGGCAGTAATGTGTCGTGCAGAGCTAATCCAACTCAGAAGTAGCAGCAATGCACCTCGCCAAGCAGAGACCAGAGCTCCTCAGCTAAGAGAGCAGTCATTATAACAAAGGAAGGGGAAAGGGAGCCCTGAGAGAGGAACATGAAGTGTTGGAAGGGCGATCTGCAAAAGTGGGTCATACAGAGGATCTTTGAAAACTCACACGTTGCTGACAACATAGTGCTCTCCTGTCAATACCTACAGGTCTTCTGACTACTGCACACCTTTGTAAAGGCATGGGACAGCAGACAGGGAGGCTCTCTGTCCTCACAGCCTCATTGCAGATGCCATTTGCGACTACCTAAAAGTTTCCCAAATTCAGCCCTTGCAGGCAATCTATGCCTGTTTTGTTCATCCTAGGTTTTACAAGTTCACAAGGGAACTCAAGTTCTAGGTATAAATTATGAAGAAAGGATACGCCTCATGTGCATATCATTAGATACAGCTTTAGATTCCTCCCCATCCCTGCCCAGAAAGTTTGATTCATCTCTGAAAATGCCACGTGTTCCTCACCATTTAAAAAATATGTACTGATTTGGGCATTTTGTTCCATACATGCAGGAAGTGTAACAACACACAACAGACTGGGAAGGACAAAAGCAATTAGCCACAATGGAGCTGCCATCAAGTGACACAAAACACCCCCAAACTGATTCTCAGGAGGTCAAAAAAATTCAATCTGATTTCTACTTACAAGAAAAAAACACTCAGTTTTAGGAATAGATTTTAAGAGGAAGTAATGGAGAAAAAGGGTGTGTCAGGGGGAAGGAAATCACATCAAAATTCGTTATCCAAGATGAAGAAACAGTTAGTCAATCATCTCCATACGCTAAGCAGCATCAGATTTATTCTTGTTACTGGCATAACTCACATAGACAAGATCCTCTTTCCTATTCCAGGGGCCTTCTGTTGAGTAAAAATGTTGGAGCAGCCCGCAGGGACCCTAAAAGTCTGTTATGTACCTGTGGGAGTATTTCCTTGATACAGAGGCTGTAGAAGACGGCCACAAAGCTGCTCTGTAGACTCCTTGGCAAGCCTTGGTGCAGGGCAGCAGAGGAATCTAGGAGTCAAGCACCACAGATGTCCTGGCACATTGGCCCACGGTGCCACCTGGGGAGGCTGCTGTCATTTAAACGACCTTCAGAGCTGCTTCAGATTCAGGAGAGCACAAAGGTGGTTGAAGTCACTGTACCCCCCTGCCCACCCCGCCCCATTAAACACAGCAAAATATTAACCTTTGTGTTTACCTAATAGCAAGGCATCTAGACTTTTGGGAATGCCTTGTTATCGTTGACAGACCCAAGTAAATATTAGGAAGATCCTAAGACGTTTTTTTATTGTGCATCTTTATCACCCCTTCGAAACCAAGAAAGGGAACTGGCTGATTTAGATTAGTTGGCCTTTATTTTATTATATTCTTTAAAATTTTATGCATGTGCCTAATGTTATGCACTGTTGGTATTTGCATCAATGCATCTTTCCAGGACTGGCACATTAGTTTGTATACATCTTAGCAAAACCAGGCTAAAACTCCTAAAAAGAGTTCAGTTTTAAAAGATTCAGTTTTAAAAAGAGTACAGGGTGAAAGTATTTCAGTGGAGTCTAATAGGTTCAACTAGTTCTCCCCAGTCGCTCAGTTATTTTCACCCTGTTAAAATACAATGCTTCAAATACATGACACCTTTAATCTCCAAGGGATTCAAAGCAATTCAGGAACTATATATACACACAGTTTTATAATACTGCCACCTCTGGGGCGAAAGACAGCAGACAGGTAGACAACTGGCATTTTACACAACTGTAAAGTGAAATTAAATTATACAGAAAGACAGAGGCAAAAAAGTATCTGTTAAGAGAGCAAGGGGACCTTTAACAGCCCGAGGAGCAGACAAGACCTCAAGTCATAATGTTCCTTTTGCCAAAGTCCCACATGATAAAAAGTGTCGAAAAAAAGGTACACTCGGCATACAGACTGGTCTGGTGGGAAAAGGCTGCAACACTTCCTTTATTCATGGCAAACAGTGCTTCTCACCTTAGGAAAACATATGCCATTAAGCTGAGTTTTCCTTTAACTCTGGAAGGACAGAAAACAGTAGTTCCCTCTGACTGTGTGGGCGCAGTCATGCTCTCCATGTGATGTGGAGTATTTTTATAGCAAGGGGGGAAAAGAGAGAGAATGTGTAGGAGAGAGCTGGGCCTTTGAAAGAAAAGCACTTTTTTTTTCCTTTTCAGAAGGTGGGGGGAATTTGAGAGAAGGAAGCAAAATTATGTAAACTGTTTTATAAGCTGTCAAAGTTTTAAAAGCCCCATAGCAGGTTTAGAAAAGATGGAGTTCACTTTCCACATTCTTTCTTTCCATAGATGAAAGGGGCCAGTGAAAACAATTGACCTCAACTGTTTTAATACTGTGTTTGTTATTATATAACCAAGGCCCCTCCATTGGCTATTCTGAGGGGGAACTGCAAATATGTTTCTATTTAACGGGATGCTGTTAATTTAAAAATAATGCCTCTGAACCTCTCCTACCTACTGTTGTTGCAAAGATTACTGTATAGATTAGAGAAATAATATTTCCTGGATTTTTTTTTCCATTGTGCTTAATTTCTGCATTTAACAAAACTGTGAGCCTGAGCAGTTTGGCTTTTTCCCTAGTCAAGACATTTTTCTCTGTTTACACAAGTCTTTCATATGGCAACAGAGGAGAGAGGAACATTTTGAAAAAATAGCAAAAATCAGAAAGCTACCAAAGTG